AAGAGTAAATGCAAACCCATGTCCCCTCTCAGCTGACCTGCAGTTTTAAAATCACAAAATACCTGTTGCCTAAAATTAGTTAACTAAATAACCACAGGAAAAGTACTTCCCGTGGCTCTCACATCAAGAGGTGACCCCTTCTCCCTGGGCAATTTGGGCCCAGCCAGCACGCAGGAGGAGGATTCCCAAACCGCCAGTGCAGTGAAGGTGAACTGCGTATTTTAAGAAGAAGATTTCATTTCCCAAGAAACATAACTGTCTCAGCAAATAGCAATTCACTCCTATTCTTAATCCCTAAACCATCAACATCTGCTATGAAGAATTACTTGAGTCCTCAAATAAATCTCTCTTGTCCTGTATTCTTTATGACACTCTCAAAAGGCAGTATTTGAATAAAACAACAATAACCATCTCTGCCTCCATCTCCCAATTTCATTCTGGAGAGGTTTTACAGTCCTGGGCACACAAAGGCGGTTTTATGGGGCTCCACGGAGGTGGTAATGGGAGTGGGTGGGCCAAAGACATTTTAAAGGAGGAGAAAAGATGTCTGTGTGCTTCTAAAGTTTCTTAGATTATAAAATCACTGATGCCGAAATATGAAAAAGAAATCTTAGACTCTCCTGAAAAGCAATTTTCTTTCTTTCTTGTTTATTATTTTCCAAGTATGTCTGTTTACTTTTTTTATTTTTAAGCATTAAGAGGGATGAAGTGGACTGTACGTGAGTCCTACTTGGGTCAAACAAATGCTGCTTAAAAACCCATTTCCATGTTTTAACATTCAGGGAGAAGAGATTTACCAGTAGCCTATAAACATCCCTAATATCTTCAACATCTTTTTTTTGCAGATTTGCTGGAAAGTACAGCAAACAACCATCACTCAGCGTTTCCCGTCAATGCCCCTTGAACTTGGTCATTGATGGTGAGCAGCAGAATCCACTGGTGTGGGTTTCTTCAGCTCGGAAACCGTTTTCCTGGCATTGTCGAGACACCTGCACTCTGACAATCTAGGCAGAATCTCTCCGCCAAACTGATTTGCTGATTGTACTCCGGAGGAAATTATCAAACATTTAAAATACCATTTAAAAAGAGTAAATTTAGCAGAGGTAGAGTTCTGACGGCTTCTCGCTGTTCCCATTCTCATCTGTATTCTGCACAAGCGTCTGATACTGCCAAAGTCCCTCTGATGGCTGTCTGCATCCCCTGGGATCAGGTCTCCCAGAATGTACTTACAGGCGATGCGCACAGAGGCCTTCCTGCTCTTGGAGGTGCCCAGGTGGCTCCAGGCCACACACTGGCACCAGTAGTCCTCTGGCCCATGGAAGTCCTCCACCTGCTGTCGGGTGACGTTGATGAAGACCTCACGGACCTTCAAGCCTGATGAGGGGAGAAAGAGAGAACCAGCTGAGGCCGTCGTAGCTCTCAACAAAAAGTGAAGTTTAGCAAAACCTTTTCTTTTTAATTAAACAATTCTTTTTTTTAATCAAGGCAAGGTTTTAATTACTCTGACAATAATATATTACTGCTAATTAAACTCCAACAGCTGAGCAGGCTGCAAAGCACGAGTGTAAAGTATTTCCCACCAACTGTAGCTCCCAAGCAGGGTAATAGTTTTCACAGTGTCTTAGTGCTTTGTCTTTGTGTAAAACTGACTATGAGCAAAGTAGTAACAGTGTTAATTGCTGGGATTCTAGAAGCGCAAAGAGGCCAGGACACACTAACCCCAGAGACCCAGTTCCAAGTTGTTATA